ACAGGTTAAATGGGGCCTGTTGCATTGTTATTACATGACAAATAAAGCAGCCATAATATCTGAAGTTGATTCAGAGTGAAGAATTTTGTATTCTGTAACTTTTCACTGTAATTTTGAATATGAAACCCAAGAGATGTCAGATGACAGCGAGGAAGGCTGTTATGAGGCTATTATGCAGAACAAACAAACTAAAGCACGTGGTGATGTTTGTGACATCACGCATGCTGCAGTGACAGCCATTGATTGAAAGGATTTTCAACTGTAGTGGTCTAGATAACTACAAAACCTGAGTCTCTCTACAACAAGTGATGGACCTAAGTGTAGCTAACTAAAATTCAGCAGCATCACCAACATGTCTTCCAAGTGAGCCATACATATAAATCAACAAAAGTTTAAAAAAAAAAACCCAAACCAAACCAAAAAACCTGTCTCATCGTGACTCACTTAATTGACTGTAGGTTGTACCTGCTAGTTAGAGTTCAAATTAGGATGCTGATATGTAAAACACGATTAAGTCCACCAACCCTCATTTGAATACAGGTGTCTAAGAATGTAACGTTAACCGAAGTCCTGCTTGTAGACGGGACTCTTGCCACTCTTAGTAACCTAGAAATACCTCTGGGGACTTTTTCGGGTAGTACTTTTGAAGCATTATCTAAATTAACTTACATTTCTGTCGTCACTAGTACATCACCAGTCAAATAAGATAAAAACTGCTTCAAATATTTATTGACTTTGCCCCAAAATAAGGTTACAGTACCGTATTTACCGCACTATAAGGCGCACCAGATTATAAAGCGCACTGTTGAAGACTGGCTCTGTTTTCATACATAAGGCGCGTCGTATTATATGACGCATTAAGACAAACAAAACAGTCAGATAACTCGACCTTTATTAAGCTCATTCACAGTAACTCTTAACACTGTTAAGCTGTAACACATTAAATATTGAACAATACACTTACGTTTTCCAGTACATTCAACTTCCACTGAGTTACGGTAAACAGCT